GTCGTTATTGAGATATTTATAAAATTCCTGGCATCTAATGTTGTTAAAACAACCCTTTTCCTAGGCAGTCCTCATCAGGCTAAAAATGCGCTCGGATGAGGCATTAGAATGAGGTAAAGAAGACATACTCGCAATTTTTTTCCAAGCATGGGGATTTATTGTTATTACGGAAAAATTCTACCCGTTTCTCCTTTGCTTTTAGACAATCTAACTTTAAGTATTCTGGCGAATCATAAAAAATAGAGAGAATTACAATCTCCTCAAACAAGACATCAATGTCTTTCGGTATTTTAAATATATTTATAAAATTACAAAAACCATCAATTGACGGTTTCTGTCCAAGGTCATAATATTTATACATTTGTAAATAGAGTTATTAAAATCAAATTTTGATCGTAAATATTCTAAAATTATCTTAATAAAAATATCTGCTTCATTTAAAAATGTAATAATTAGAGTATTATTTGAACATTTAATATTTTTAGCAAAAGCGTCATAAAATTTATTATCAATTTTTAACTGTAGAGATGAACAGAGTTGTAGATTTTGTGAATCTTTATTAATAAAAAATATTCTGATTGCAACTGAATATTAACTTCATGAAGTAGATTTCCTACATGTGAAACTAATCCCAAATATGCTTCTGCTATTTCATATTTGAAAAAATTTTTCAAAATTTTAGGACAGCTTTTAAAATCTTTATTTAAAAGTATTTTTTTAAGGGTTTGTAAAATTTTAAAATTCTATCGATGGCAGGTATTAACAAGCACCTGATAGGTACATGTCGCAACAACTCACACCATTCCAAGTCAGACCACTCCACCAACTCTTTTAATTCATTAACTCTTATAGTTGATGAATTAAATTCGTTAAAACATCTTATCATAATTATTTCGACATCCACAGATAATACATTCCCTTCTTGCAAGAATCATGTATGTAGTATATGGCATATACAGCCAATTGGTATTAATTCATTATTGTGCGGCCTCAATTCGGTAAATACACTTAGATTTTAGCCAAAATTTATAGAGGCATTATCAGCGCAGAAAGCTGACATGCAAATCATTGATAACCCTGAATCAGCTATATTTACATTATGTGGTTAGCTACATCGTTGGATTTTTCACTATCCGAGGAAAAAATTTAAACAGTTTTATTGAAATGTTCTTATTCTTGTTGAAATAGCGAAAGATCAAGGAAAATGTTTTAATATTTCCCTTATTAGATGCATCTGTCGCTTTCAAATCATCTAGAATTGACCTCTAGGATTCAGGTACTAAAACACTTGTGATAGCCTTGCTCATTTTTGTTAGGTTTGCACTTATATTGGAGTCGTTAAATATCATGGGAAAAAGATTCTACCCACATTGTGATGATATAGCTCTGTGAATGTTGAACTACATGATAGGTGTATACGATTTCCGCAACTGTAATTACATCTGTATTATATATTAATTTTGGAGAATATTTTTGCATTGGAATCGATGTTGATACACTCCTTTGTACTGATGAATGAAATGATGTGGATTTATTATCAGATAATAATAAAACAGGATAGAAAGAAATTTACAAACAAGACATGTTTTTCGAATAAATATTTAAAATTTATTTTAAAAATATAAAAATAATCAATTACTGTCTCTCAAAATTATTATTTATATATTAAAAACGTTAAAAACTTTTTAAAAAAATTGCGGGAGAAATTAAAAAATTGCAGTAGATTTTTTCGGGAGATTTCCAATTGCGGTAGATTTGCGGGAGAGAAATGTCTGCGTGTAAACTAAAAAATTGCGGGAGTCTCCCGCTGTTGGGGGGAGACATGGCAACCCTGCATAGGAGTCTGCTGTAGCGCCTGTGGTTTGCACTCCAACTAATTGTTTATATTATATTATATAAATGCACATTAGTGTCATTAGCGGCATGTAAACCACATGACCCTAAAATGACTTTTGTATATAAGCATTAACATATATATATGTCATTGATAAGCACCTGTTGGCACCTGTACCAAATTTAATAAATATCACTAATCTAGGATCCGGTACGAAACTGGCGAAAACTTAATAAGGAATAAAATAAAAAATATATAAAATATTCCCTAATTGTTAACTTGACTAAAAATTTATGTGTTAATTTTATATATCAAATTTACGGACTTATCTAAAATAAAGTCAATATTAAATATAAAAATATTACTATAATAATATATATAATATTAATTTATATGTATTATTCATTTAGTCAAAATGTCATTCTTGGTATATTAATTTAATATGAATTTTAAGTATAATAAGAATGATATATAAAATAAATTCAAAAATAAATAATATATATTATATTTATTGCATTCATTTATTATAAATATTATTTTGTTTGATGAAATCTACATCATTAAATATGTAATTGATTTTTTCTCACTAAACTATGGTTATTGCCTAATGTACCTAATTTAATAGTATTTAAATCTTAAATATGGCATTTTTTTTTTATTTAGTATATTAATGGTGAACTAAATCATTAAATATATTATAATATTTGAATTCCCATACTTGGTGAAGGTTAGACAGAGCTCACACAGGAGGATATTTATAATATGAAATTTTATATTAAGATTTATTCACAAAATAATGTTATGCTAATTACTGCAAAAAGGTTCTTACTGGGAACTTTTTCTATTTATAGTATCATAACAAAAAAAATTTAAAATTTTTATTTCAATGTTGAATAATGATAATTATATATTTTTTAAAAAAACAAAATCATAAAAACATTAAGCAAATATCATGTATAATGTTGACCTTCCTCTAATTATAGTATTATCCATAAAAAAATTTAATTTTTTTATTTCAATGTTGAACAGCTTCTACATGACACGATATTCACTGGATGTACACCCCCCCCCCCTCAAAAACCAATATCTACCCCTTAAAATAATTTACGACCTTCTGCAGCGATATTTATACATTATTAATTATACCTTTTTAATTATAATAGTAGCTCCCTCATGAATTTTAAAAAGAATAATTTAAATTATTTTTGCTCTACCTACAACTAGTGTTGTTAAACGGCTCGTTTTGAGCCGATTTTTTAAAACGGCTAACTCAATATTTTAACCAGAAAAATATTGTTTGAGCGTCGAGATTTCGATAATATATATCTAGACCTTTGTCCCTTCTATGGGCAAAATCTTCAGGCTTGCATAATATTTTTCTGGGTGAAATATTGAATTAGCCGTTTTTAAAAATCGGCTCAAAACGAGCCGTTTAACAACACTACCTACAACTATCAAAAATAATATAATATATTAAATATAATTTTTTATAAAGTGAATAATTTTTATTTATTTATCTTAATAAATGTAAAATATAATTATAACTATTGATAAAATTAAAACATAAATTAAATAAAAATATTAAAGCACAATACAAACAGTGGAATATTATATGTAGTAGATTTACAGTATATCTAATTTTATCCTTGACACAGGTTATTTTTACTTTTGTTTTATCTTCCTTTATTTACTTTCGCTGCCTTTTCTCTCTTCTCATTCTGTATCGAACTTTTTTCCTTTTCATCTATTATTTGCTATCAAATTTCCCATCTTATGCCTTATGTACCGTGTGATTAAAATTAGGTCCCCCTTTGCCTTTATAATTTATTATGTATATAAGCATCTTATGGGTGTGGGCTTTGCTTATTTTTGTCCATTCCTCATCAGCCCATAGACGTTTAAATAATAGTCCTTGGACTATTACGCGTACAAGTATGTGCGACTTGCCCACAAACGTGTGAAGGGGTCATCATTTTTATTTCCATTTTAATTTGTCCAGTCAGATGGATTATGAGGAAAACCTAACGTAGCTCTGTTGTATCCACTAGAGGGCGAAAACGTTCTATATCACGTATCACGTAATTATCATATGACAATCAAGTAATTTTTACCAATATAGCGATTATATATTTTACAGAAAACAATAAAATATTGATAAGGACATAAGAAAATATCTTTTAATGACATTGTGGGGTTGAATAATATAAAGATAAACTTTTAATAAAATTTGTTACATAAATTAAATAGATGGCGTTAAATAATTGAATGCAAATTATTGCTAAATTTATTATCAAGAGCATTGATTAGAAAAATTTCTTAAAATATTAACTGTAATATATTCTCTAACTGTCAAATAAGTCTGTAAAAGTATAATATTACCTAGTATTTTGTAACTAATTCTATATATAATTCTATATATAATTCTATATAATAGAGGAATATAAATTATATGTCTACTTACTTTTTATAAATAAATTTCTTATACTTGTCATTGCACTTGTTTTTAATAAATTATTATCATGCTTTTATATTGATGTATATAGAGTAATTTATAATATTTTATATAAATTAATTAATAATATTTTATATAAATTAATTTATAATATTTTATATAAACTAATTTATAATATTTTATATAAACTAATTTATAATATTATAAACTAATAAAAATTTGTTCCAGGCTTATTTTTTTATTAAAATAACCTCCTATCTTATAAAAATATTTTATGACTATATAATAGACTAAGGTAACCCGGCCGAAGGCCGGACAAAAGAGGGGCCAAGGCCCGCCCAAAATGAGGTCTGAGCGAAGGCCCCAGTAATTTTTTAATTCCCCCCCCCCCATTTAGGAAAGATTTAGCTACGCTTATGTGCTCAATATATAGATTTGGTGGATGTTCAGCAATATTATTGTATTATAATGGTCTATAATAAAAGTATAAATTTTTAGAGTATTACATTTTGCCTTTTTTCATTTAAAATTTAAGAGTCAAACCCCCCTTAAATGCCATTACAAATAAATTTTACACAATTAATAAAAATAAAATGTCCTGAATAATTACAACATCTTCCCTTTTTATAAGTTATTAATTAATATTAATTATACTTAAAAATTATTTACAAACAGCTGATATTAATCACCCATCCAAATATTCAAAAACTTGAATTTTTTTTAAAAAAAAATTAAGTGATAAATGTCAAATTGATTGAAAATTAATACCTACTACGGTATGTTATCAGGAGATAAGATTCCTAAGGAAGATGAAAGAAAGGGAAATTTTCTGCCAATTAATAAAAATGATTCTAGATTTCAAATTTATTCTGTCTCAGGAGAAATTGCACCCATGGTGACATGTATTGATGCAAAAAATACACCGTCATCATATGAATATGAAAATCCATCATTATATATGAAAGATGAAGTCGATCTTAAAATTTTGGGCAATGAAGAAATTCAAACTGAAAATCCAAGAATCAGGCGCATCTCCCTACATGAAACTCTTCCTAAAGTTGAACATTATAAAGATATTTTTTCTCTAGATAAAAATAAAAAAAGGCCAAGTTTATCAGATTTACATGAGCCAGGTGATAGAGATCTATTACAAGTATATATAAAATTTGCAAATGTTATATATTTATTTGTAAACTATCTCATCTTTGTTATGTAGGAAATTATATAGATTAGAATTAGTATACAATGTAAATTCCTTAGAACTTTTAATTTAATTATCTTATTAATTAATGACAAAATATATTCTTAATTTATTTTATTCCTCTTGAAACTTTTTTTAATATTAAATCAAAATAAAACTATAGTAAAAACTATAAAAAAAATTATTTTCAAGACAAAATATTTGATAATTCCTGATTTTTTGGTTCCCACTTACAGAGTAGATATAAAAATAAAAATTTAGGATTGACTAAAGAAAAAAAATATATAGTACAAAAATTAATATAAAAATGTATATGCTGAAGGTAGGTTATATTATATTCAGGGAAATAAAGAATTTTTAAAACAACTCATTTACAGCTTGCATTTTTTTTAATTTCAAAAAGCCAGCCAGAAATGAAATTATTTCCATATTCCAGTATATACATGTAGAGTATTCTCTGAATTTCTGACAATTTTATCATAAAAATTTGTATGAAAAAATCTACAAAAATTAAGAAATTAACATTTACGGAGTAGATTAGTTACTTAAAATAAAAAACATGATTTATAAATGATTTAAGTTTTACAAATTTGCTAAAAAAAAACCTAGGACATTGAAATACTGAATTTATAAAAGCCTTACACATGACTAGTGTTGCTTAAATGGCGATTTGACCCGATTTGCCTTAGTATCAAGATTTTGTTAAAAGATGTCCAAACCTTTGTGCCATATATGAGCACAATCTTTAGGCATGCATGATATTTTTCTGAATAAAATATAATTAGCCGTTTTTAAGAATCGGCTCATTAACAACATTACACATGGCATATGGTTAGAAATGGATAAAGTTATTAAAAGAAATTTTATTTTCTACTTATAAATGCTTATGTTAAACATTCCTGCACTTTTAGTCAAAACATTCTAAAGAACAATAAGGGAAAAGGAATAGTTATCACCCATTGAGTTCCGGCAAATTGGAAACTAGTGTCGCATCTGGCCTGTTTATATGTAAAAAAAAGAGAATGAAATAATTAGTCTCACATCCTTTGTTTCTTATTTTATCTATGCAATTTAAAAAAATAAATTAAAAATTAAAAATTTTTTTTTTATTTATTATTTTTAAAAAAATTCTCAAGAAACCCAGACAAAGTTTAGATGTTGTTTCAGAAGATTTGCAGAGAGGAATATCGAAAGGAACTAAATTTGGTTGGATTAAAGGAGTTATGGTAATTTTATTCAAAAGAGATTTGTGTTAATTTTTTTTTAACCCTACTCCCTAACAAATACTAACGCATAATATAAAATTTTCTTTTCTTTTTAGATGCTTTAAACATTTATGGATTAATGTTTTTTTTTTTAAAATCGAAATTTAACATGTTAAAAATTAATATCTAACTAATTAGGCAATTTTCACCAATTTATTTCAAATTATACTTAGACGATATCTTAAATCTTATAGATATCTCTTATATCGCTGTAAATATACGAGATTTATCAAATTTTTTATCCCACTTGGTGACTTATTGTCTTGAGTAGGTGATGTAATGTTTGAGTAAAATATATTTCTTATGAGTAGTATAATTTTTTAATAAATACTAGAGCCCTGCATGAATCAACAGTTTGAGTTCAGTTCAATTGAACTTGTGCCTGTGGGTATTGCATATATATTCTCTCAGACTCATTGTGATTTAGACTTTGATTTTAAAATTTATTTTAACTTAATCAGACTTGAACCTTGACAAAATTTTTAAAAAAAATTTTATTTTCCTAAATGTTTTTATAAATATTCTTTTCAATAATAACACAATTATTTTTTCTGCCTATGTTGAAATAAATTACTTTTTTCACACCGATCTATTTTTAAAGTAAATTTTTGGATCGGATGGGATCTTTGAAAAGAAAATAATACTCGGATCAGATGGATCAAACAAAAATTTCTTTAATTTCTTTTCGAAACAGGACACGAGTGGAATAAAAGATAAGAGGCTAGGTTAATACATCCAAACTTGTCGATGTTCCTTACACGTGTTTGGTGGTTTGGCCAGGATATTCAAGGGAAGAGGTTACTAAAAATATTTTGAGAACTTGGCCCCCAAACCCTCATTTGCCCAGCCTTCGGCCGGATCCCTCATTAAGAAAAATTATGATTAGGGCTTTTTAAAATTTTTCCATCATTATTTTTAATATTCCATTTTTAGAATATGTAATAGCTATATATCCTCTCCGTTAATATTTCATGATTTATTTAATACCTGGGAACTTTAAATAGTATAGTAGCCAGTATAAAGAAAAAATTTGTTAGCAACAAAATTTTAGTCAACCTTACGATTGAAAAGCTTCTGAAAGCATTTATTCTGAACATTTTATTAAATGTTTGTTTAATTGTATATTATTTTAATCCGTTTGGTAGTTCGTATAAAGAAAAAAATAATTTATTGTCAAAATTTGCTTTATCCTAAGATGGGAAATATAGAAGAACGAAATATTTGGTTTGCAATGTCTGACTAATGCTTATTAATTCTTTAAAAAATTTTGCTAAACCCAAAAAGAATCCGAGTTATAAATTAAATAAAAACAATGACTTCAAGCTAGATTATCTATATGTAGTACATTATTTGTGCTTACATTTGGTAGATAAGAAAAATGCATTATTTGCAAAATAATTAATTAAAATTGTCAAGATTGGAATCGTGCTTGGACGAAAATAATAGAAGCCCTAATTATCTGGGCAGCCCCCCCTCCACCTTTGAAAATTTTACTCCCTCTAAAATTTTAACTCTTACCCCTTTAAAATTTTACCCCTACCCTCCTTCCAAATTTAACTCACTACCCCACCCCATCCCCCATTATAATTAGCAAAAAAATAAAATCTAAATACAAATAGCAAAAAAAACGAAATTCAAATCGAAACTACCCCCTATTCCCAATTTAATTAATTTATTATGGTTTCTTTTTTCCCGATTAAAAATATTTTTAATTCATGATTCCGATCTTTATATGTATTATTTGTTTATATTTTTTACAATATGAATTTGCATCTCATGAGAGCAATCCTAAACATGAAGATTGCCAAACTTTCGAAAGCACTTAATAATTAAGATTAGGCCAATATGTATTCTTTAAATAGTATATACATTAGTTTAATGCTTTAAACGGTTTGGTAAACATAGTGTTGTTAGATGGCTCGATTTGAGCCGATTTTTAAAAACCGCTAAATATTTTATCCAGAAAAATATTGCGCAAACATAAAGATTTTGCTCATAGATGGCACAAAGGTTTGAACATCTATTAGCAAAATTCCGAGGCTTAAGCAATATTTTTATGGTTAAATTATTGAGTTAACCGTTTTTAAAAATCGGCTCAAATCGAACGGTTTACCAACACTAGATAAACAGAATTAAAAAAAAGTTGTTAGAAAATTAAGGAAATTTCTACAAAATTCAAGATAGAACCAAAAATATGGAAGTATAAAGATTTGATATTATTTTATAATTTAGCAGCGGTAGCCTAAAAAAGTAGTCAAACAGACTTGAGACATCTATGGAAAATGTGATACCAAAATAAGATGGATCAGTTCTTACGGTGAAATTAAAAACGTTTACAATAGATGATTTTTTTTACTCTCAGGCTCTAATGTCTAACGGTAGTACTGCAAATATTAAGTGCGCTTACTGTTATTAATAGGAAAGATTAAATCTATCCCATACTAATTATAGCAACTTCGGGAAGCTTCCCGTTTTTCACTTTTTTTTATAAAATATAATTTATAACAAATTTTTTTATATGTGGGAAATTTGATTTATAAAATGAAATGTGCTGTCGCTGTGCATATATAATATTGTTTTATTCGTAGATTTTTATGTTTACACGCACTTTTTTTAAATATAGAAATTTTTGAGATGATTTTTATAGAATTAGAAATTAAGGAGGGAATTTTATCAATTTTAAAAAAGTTGAAGCAAATTTTTGAACACAAAATTTTACCTAATCATATTTTTCCTTTACGCCATTGGTTGAGTTCGAATCTCATGGGAAATAGTTTCTTTCTTTTCTCTTTTTTTATTATATCGGATTGGGGATACATATTAGACCCGCAAAAAAAGGCTTGATGGGGGGGGGAGTACTTGTATTTTTTATCAAAAAATAAATAAATAAATATTTATCATAAGCAGGATATATACCATTCCCCAAATTTTATTACCATAATTTGAAAGTTTAATAGTAAAATACTTTTTTTATTAAGGAATCTAACAGTCTTCTTAAATAGTAATAATATATTTTACATTTTTTTTCTTTTTAAAATTTTAGGCGTATTACATGTAAACATATGCAATTTATATTTTGAATCGTATTAAATTAAAAACTATTTTTCTATATCTTTTGCTTCCTTTTTTGGAAAAAATAAGTTTACATTTTTAACATATTTTTTTGTATTGAAAGTAAAATTTGATTTTTAATTTCCTTTTTTTAAAAAATTCAAATTTTAATGATTCACATTCTTTACTATTGTAAAAACACAAAAATTTCTCAAAAGTTTTATTCATTTATTTTATGGAAAATTATTTTGGCAGTCCAAATATATTTATTATTTATATATAATCAATTTTTTTATACCTTATAAGACATGGAATGTAGTGTTATTAAACGGCTCTATTTAGCCAATTTTAAATTAAGGGTTTTAGCCAAAATAATATTACGCAGGCCTCAAAATAATAGATGCTCAAACCTTTCAGGAATCTCTAAAAAAAAATCTTCAGGCTTTACTTATTATTTTTAGCCTAAAATATTGGATTAGCCGTTTTTAAAAATCGACTCATTAATAACACTAATTGGAATGGAAAATCCAATCTCTATTTTATATTTATTTTTTAATGATAACCTACATTTTCTATATAATAATCGATACAGAAAACCTAATATATTAAAAAGCAGAGTTTTAAATCAACATTTTTTTTGAAATTTTTGAAAAATTTTACCTAAAAATTGAAAAATCTTTTGCAAAAAATATTTTATAAGTAAATTATATGTTAATTTCCATGCATAAGAAAAAAATCTTTCAAGATGAAATAACAAATTTAAAAAAAAATATCTTCAAAGAATTGCTCAAAATTTTTTGAACATTTTTTTTTTCAAACTCTGATTTAGTATTAGTAATATAAATCAAAGACCTGCAGACCCGTTATACTAAAATATTCTGAAAATGGAATCTAGGCTGGGATTAATTAATATTTATTTACTGTTCATATGTACATTTCCCTTTGAAACGATTGAATTGATAAAACACAGCCTAAATTATTGAAAATAACGAAATTTTAGAATGCTGGTTTTAAAAAATCAAAAAAATATGGGCCAGGCCAAAAGAGTGTTTAAAAAGTCACATTCATATAATCATAAACCTAAATTTATATAAAATAAAATATTACTACCAATTTTCAATGTAATCTTATAATTTAATTTAGATGATTATTTATAAAATTGAATAAAATGGCATCGCGATATCATAATATTTATGAAATGCTTATAAATCATTCTCTTTTTTTAACATTTGAGCGACAAGGGCGTGTTTTGCTAGAAAATATTTTGGACGTGTTCTTATTAAATTTAGATATTTTGAGATTCTTTTTTAGAGCCTTTTTTTCGACAATGCCATTGAAAATTATTTATAATATGAATGCGCTTTAAATTTTATTTGATATTTATGTGTATTTTTTTTTAAGATACGCTGTTCGCTCAATATATGGGGTGTTATGCTATTTTTGAGACTTTCGTGGATAGTTGGACAAGCAGGAATAGGTTTATCATAATATATAATTACTTTTTTTCTTCTTCAAAAATATAATTATATATTTCATAAATAACCAAATAATATATTTTCAATAATTATATAAATTTAATTTTTTTTTTTTGCTATAACTTCATCGTTCATTAATAAGTAACTCGAAAATGTTTTAAAATTATTTATTTCTTACTCCCGTATTTTATTCGAAACTACCAGTTAGTGTTGTTAAACGGCTAGATTTGAGTCGATTTTTAAAAAGGAATAATATTGCCTAAGCCTCGAGATTTTGTTAATAAACCTTTGTGCCATCTATGAGCAAAATCTTATGGCTTGCATAATATTTTTCTGGATAAAATATTGAGTTAGCCGTTTTAAAAATTTGTCAAAATGGACCGTTTAACAATACTACTGCCAGTATCTAAAAAGATATATCTTCAGTGGAATAACAAAATTTTTAGTATTTGATTAATTTTACCAGTTTATAAGTGTTCAATGTAAAAATTTCGATATTATACCCTTCCCCCTCAGTAAATACCCCCCCCCCCCTCATATTATTAACATCAGAGTACAAAGAACCCTAAAACAATCATTATTTTAAAATAACTTGTAGCCCCGCCCCGTTTCAGTTTTTACCAATTTAATTAGTAAACTTTTTTTCTCTCTCCATTATTTTAAATTTACTAATAAAAGATTATACAGATTTAATTAATTTCATCATTTTGTTTTAAAGTTTAATTTTATTGACTCAAAATTTACTGGCTAAGAATATTATTTTCAAATTTATTTATAATATTATCAATGGCAATAAACGCTATCTTGCGAATTAAATATAAAATTATATTTTTTTATTCTATTTAATTAAATTAAATATATTTGTTAATTTGTATTATTTTTATTTTAAGATCTATACATATTTTTATAACCGAGAAATTTCAAGTTTTTCATTAGTATTCTATATATGATTTAATTAGTAGTGTATATAACAATTATTTAGACTTAATTATATTATATTCTAAACATCGATGGACCACATCAAATAGAGGGTGCTAAATATGATTGCTAACCCATAGCCCAACCAAACATCAATAAATATTCTTAAAATATATTTAACTTATATATTTTTTTTTATAAAATATGGCAGTTAAAATTTTAAAATTTTTACATAAAATGTGATAAAAATGATTCCACGAGAAAAATGAATTTCCACATAATAAAGTTTTTAATATTGCAAATAAAAAAAACAATTCTTCAATCCTGAACCCTAAATTTAGAAGGTCGGGTGCTGATTTAGTAAAATCTTGAGGGTTGGAATTCGAACATTATCAAATTAAAGAAAAAATATTTTAATATAATTTTTTCATATAATTTAAAAATCATAAACTTACATTCTTACAAAATAATAAATGTTACCTTTCGAGATCAAATCTTTAATATTAAGGTAACTATCCCTATTTCAATGGTAAATTAAAAATATCATCTTAATCACTTCTTTAGCATCATTCGGGGAATTCGGCCTGGGAAAAATTTAAGATAAAAATTAATAAAACTAAATCAAATACCTGACATTAAGTCAGTACACTTAACTTAAAATACATCGAACTCTTTAAATAAACATGTTATACTATTATAAACAAAAAATATTTATGCCGCCGGTACAATAAATTAGCTTTTACAAACAACACCATTTATACATTTTATACTCCCCCCCCCTCCCCATTTTTACAAAACACAAAACGGAGAAGAATTGACCCCATTTATACCGCTATCTTTAAGTAATTATTTCTTCCCCTATTATAAAAATGATCTCTAAATTTTTATAACTAAAAATAATGATTTTTCTAAATTTCCAAATATGTTCACCCCTTTTTAAATGGGGGAATAATTATACATAACTGTTTTCCAACACAATTATATGTGACAAAAAATATTAATATATGCAGATTAATTTTCCCTTAATTGATCCTCTTAAAGAAAGAAAGAAAAAGAAGTTAATTTTATAGACTCGTTTATATTGTTAGAAAAGAAATAGAAACATAATTAATAGAGTATATAAATAATTTATAGTTGCAGAATTTGTAGTTTACTTACCCTGCATTCACAGTTAACGCGAATTCGTGACGAATTTGTATGTTTCGCTGCTAATTCGTGCTATCAATAAATGCAGGGTTAAGCATTTGAAGTTTAGTTAAACTGTATATTAATCCTACATATCTCGCTAACCTTTTTATTTTACTCTAATCTAGTTTAATATGGCGGTCTTAGAAATTTGTTGTTCCAGAACGAGGACAGACCCTTAACCCTTTTAGCTACAGTCCACAGGTATCATTCAAATCTCAATGATAAGAAATTTACAAAAAACCTATTTTTATAGGACATTCGATCGGCCTCACAGATTTTACTTTTTTACTAATCGAATTTACTACTTATCAAATTTTTTTTTTTTACTAATCAAATTATGTTATTAATAATCAATATTTTTCACTGATCAAAAAAAATACCTACAAATTTTGTATTTAACAGGGATTCTATTCTATACTGACTAAATATCAATTTTATACTGGTAAAAATGATCAAAAAATCTAACGTTCCGCAAAATGACGTTAGGTTTTAATCATCCGCCTTTAAATACTTACATATCCTTTCATCAGGCGAAACCCGGACCCGGTTCGATAATTAATTACTTAATATTATAAATTTTAACTAGTAAGTTTTTTTGGTTCCATATATAACTCCTGCTGCATCTTTGAGGTCAGGGTTAATTTACGAGAAATTTTAAATAGCGAAGCAAGCGCAATTAATAAAATATAGAATATATTATATATTTTGGACAGCAGAAAAAGAATATAAATTACCCACTTAGCTCCTCTCACCTGTTAAAAATTTAGAAAATTCTCACATATTTTTTATTCGCGCTATTTTGGCTGGTAAAACAGGCTTGATTCAGCACATTTACAATCTTATTAAATTAGGGTCTATAAAAGATCGAATCATATAATTCTATAATTGATTTCTTTTCTTACTTTTTAAATCGATTATTTTAAAATTTTAAATTTCAGTTGTAAATTTTTGTTCCTATTAAAGAAAAGGAAGCATAATATTGATATAATATCAAATCAATATTCCAAATTCAAAATAATATTATAAAATAATTATAATTAATTTGAAAAATATTTTAATTTTTATTATTTCAATTTTTAATATAAATATGCTCTTCTTGACTCTTTATTTCATGTTTTATGTTTTCCCCACTTTTACTATTTTAAATAAATATTCTATATTTTATACATTGTATTTTATCCCTAAGCCAATGATGATTTATTTCCTACCCGCTTTTTACCCCCTACTCACCTCTATCTTATCTTCTAGCCCCCCTCTCATTAAATCAAATTTGGCATTAAAAATTAATCAAAATCAAAACTATCCCCCCCCCCCCCCATCCTCCACCCCCACATAATACACTTCATAACTTGCCCCCCTCCCCTAATTTCCTAATTTTTGACAATCTTGCGTCATGTGCTCCACCCCATTCCAGTGGTATAAAGAAATTCAACTTATTTATTTATTTTCTTTAATTTTTTGGTTTTTATTTAAAAAATTTTAAAATAGTGTTGTTTGGTGTTTTACTTCTTATTTTTTAAAATATGTTGTTTATCAGATTATTTAAGCGGAAATTAAAAATCGACACAATAGAATCAATGATAAGAATTAGATCCCGAAATTATTTTTTTTAAACAAAAAGCATTTAATTTTTTTGGTTTTAAAATCGATAAATTTATTACCGACTTATAATATAAAAGATCATATTTGAGAAAGAGACGAGAGGTGAAAATAAAAAAAGAATCTTCTTTAATAATCCAATTAGAAAACAATATTAATTATGATCACGCAGAGAATCTGAGAATTGAGTGTCATATGATTGATGAAAAATCAATATTCGAAAATTAATATGGAAATTAATATTACATATCAAAATAAACCCTAGCCACAATAACCATAATCTTACTTACCCTGCATTCATAGTTAGCGCGAATTTGCGGCGAAGTATACATATACATAAAAATTTAGCAAATTTTGTATACTTCACCGAGAATATCGTGCTAACATTTTAATAAACATTTACTCGAGCTACCATGAATAACTGTTTATTTAATCAATATTAAATATTAATTTTCGGCATTTTCATGTGTATATCGGAAATTTTCGGATTTTTTGAAGGCTTGTATTTTTTTCTAATTTACTTTCAAAATGATGTTTATTAAATAATCACTATGATTTGAAGCATAGTATATACCTATTTTTTCATATCCGACCCGATCCGATAAAAAATCTCTAAAAAGTTCGTCCGACCCATTTGATTCGAGAATTTTTTTATATATTCAAGTCTGATCCTACCCAAATTTTATTTTAGAATTATGTTTGAATCCATTCCAATCCAATTCGCATTTTTTTTTTATTTAGAACTGTTTAAAAATAGTATGCGATATTTCAACGAAATGGGGATTTTTTTTATAAGGTTGAAAGGATAATAAATAATTTTACAGTTATTTTTGAAAATGATATTTATAAAAAAATTTAGACAATATAATTTATATATCGATCCAATCTGAAGAATCTTCTAAAATCAAGCTCCGAATTGGCCTGAGTCCGGGGCAGACATCTGTGTTTGGTCTGTTCGGATTCGTATTTGTCTGTACAGGGCATTAAATCATATATAAACAATGATAAAGTCACCTAATTAAAATAATTGATGACCAGCTTTGATTATAAACAATTTATCTAAAATATAGCTCATTGTGTTTAAAAAAAAATTTTTTTCACGGATTGAATTTAATTTTTAAATACTATTACATTGGAATTAATTCTATTATGATATATGTATCGTGATTATGGTTCAACCCAAGGAAATTGTCTTTATAACACGTTTATATTTAAATTTATATTCGCTTATTTATAATCACATAAAACTGTCAGATATGACATTCATTTTTATTAAAACTTATTTTAATGTATCTTG